ATTAACGTTCGACCACTCCCAGCAAGCAAGCGCTGACCTGTGGCGCGCATCCGCATATTATTGCTGTTATTGAAGAATATGTCAATATCATGCTGCACTATTCTAAACCGTTAGGCACCCGCGCGTTACGTATCCAAAGGAAAGTACCAAACGGACACAAAACCTACAGCCATTAAATCATGGCCACTGAGCAAACAACCACCTAGAGTTCCGTGTTCCAAGCATCTACTTGTGTCATTACTCGTCTAGACTTAATTGGTCGAAAGCCTGGAAAAGGAAATTCAAATAAAACCCGGAAATGTTAACTTGATCAGATCTCAGCCCTGATACACTGCACGTTCATCTCAGGAAAGCTTGGCTGGTCTACATTCTTCCTTTTCCAGCTCCTTGGAATGTGATCTAACACTGAACAATGAACATCGAATTATCGGAATTACAGGAATGTACATTCAGATTCCAGTGCATCCTGCTTTACATTCCAACTACCTATTACTAACATTGGGACTGCCTGGTAACCTTGAAGTTCAGCAATAAAACAAGAAGCATCCTTAAATTGCGGACATGAGAAGTGTGGTTGTTTATAGAAATTGTTAAATTATTGCAATAAAATAAAGAGCAACTGAAGAACCTTAGCTTTTTCCATAAAACGTCTATGCAAATCTTCACAAATTGATAAACCAACAATTTAACTAAGAAAAGCAAGTTTGTAGAGGGACACAACTTGCTGAACTGGCCTGTAAAGACTAAGGTTTACTTATATTTCTATGTGTGTGTCTGACGTGTATGTGGGAAAGTAGAAGGAAACTTCCCCTGATTCTGTTTATCTAAACGTGGCTGTACCACGTGTATACCACGTGTATACCACGTGTATACCACGTGTGGTCATCTCACTACACATTACACGTCACCCAACTTCAAACCACGGTTCCAATCGATATGCACTTAACACTGTAGACCATTGTTTCTTTGATACATTAATTCTATTCAGGGGACTACATTGCTCATTCTCCACCTCGCACCTCGCACCGCATGACAGAGTGTACACCAATAAATATATATATATCGTCTCGCTTTATATATAGTAAGATTAGATATATATCAAGCATCATGATAAAAACGGGCACTTAACCAAGACACTTAAGACAAACAGATCTATTAATATTGTACAATGTACAATGTACAATGTACAATGTACAATATACAATGTACAATTAACAATGTACATAAATAGCGACCTTTTTATGGCCCAACCAATAATCAGTTCTAAGGCGCATTTACATAACCTAAGAAGTAGGCACACGAACCATAGATGTATCATCTAGATCCTACTTCACTCATTGTTTCATTGTTTCCTTGTGAAATGTGATAATGGTCGACTGTTTTGTGTATTGGCCCATTTCTCTTATGATGTTCAAACTAAACTTTAGTATTTATCCTCAGCCACACTAATGGGGCGTGGATTTGTATTTTATTGTCGGTGCTTTAATTGTGTTGGATTGCACGATTACGTTTATTGCCGGCGGGTGGCTGATTAGTTAGGAACTAAAGTCCAAACGGTGAGGCATGGTTTGTTAACTTTTTAAAAAGCACCTACACTGTATCCTGTGTAGAGCACTAACCTGATCAGGCAAATTCCTAAAATACCTTGTTCACATAGATTACCTCCATGACTGTTCATTCCTCCTAACCTGATGATAATCCAATTGTCGTGAGCGGTGAGAGTCTAAAAATTGACAGAAACGATAATCGTCATATAACTAGTTAAATTTGGGGATTGGGACCAATACGTACTACGTAGTAATGTTAATATAGATTTGTAGTGTTGTAATTAGTTTTATATATATATAAAACTAATTACAACACTACAAATATATTGCATTTATTCATTATTGAGTACTAGTGTTACCCGTGCCTACGACCGGGACTTTATGCAAAATTATAAACCCGTCTATTATATTCGAAAACACGCATTACATTTTCGTAGTTAAAACTTTAAAACGGTGCGAAAGTATGAACAGACCGCAATTTAATACTGAGTGTCCCTCATATATATTATAGTAAAACTTTCACTGCTTCACACACTAGTTCAGATAAGTATCTTCAAAATTGTGATCTCATAGCTTTATAGATCGGTTGGGAGCTTCTGATTCACTAACTGCACTAATCAAACTACAAGTGTGCTGCATTTGGACTACAATTTGAACTACAATTAGCTATCATCTTACAATCATATCTTAACTTATCAGACTGTTATTAGACTGTGTAATAGGTAGTGTAATTTTACTGATCAGTGTTCTGATATGACAACCAGGTGGTACACAATTACTAATCACTGATAGTAAGTAATCAACTAATTATGTGTAATTACAGTGATCAATTAGTTTCTTCTATCAAGCATCATGACAACTAGGACGGACGGGGTCACTGACCAACGGATATTTTAAAATATCCGTGAGTTTTTAAACTTTAAATAGGAAAAATTTGGGCCAAACAGTCCATTTTTAGGTGTGTGATTAAAACAGTTTTTAGCATTTTCTTGAAAATTGAGGGCCTAAGCGGTCACAAGTCAATTATAAATATGCTCATATTGCAGAAATTTGCAGAATTTAGCGAAGTCTCTAAAGGACAAGGAAGGTTTAGGAATAGAGGGGACGTTCTCAAAATGATTCACATTTTTTTGAAAACGAAATTAGATATATACAGAATAGTATTACAGGTTATATATTATGAATATCATCATTGCAAAAATAAAAACCAACCAAAAAATTTGTTGATTTTCGATTCGAAAGAGTTAAATTCTAGATCATCCATGTTAGATAGTTTTTCCCACTTAATGGAGAGTATGCTTATGATTATAGTTTCAATCAACACATTTTATAGATGATTTATTCATTTATTCAATTGCATGCTATGTATTGTATTTCAGTTTATCTTTACCCATAAAAGGTTTGACCGTTGGGAGCGGTATCAAAAAAAAAGAAGTTAGATAGTTGATGACAATGATTCACATGCGATCTCCGAGTGTTTGAAAACTAAGAACTGTACACCACGGTCCCAAAGCTAGATATTGATCTAATTAGGAGGGCAGATCCGTCTATAAGTCACTGATTGCGGTTGCAACTTCTTGACTTTCTGGGACAATGTTTATTTAACGATGATGTGTCTAGCTTTGTGCAATATCTCCCTACATTCCTAACTTTTTTTTGAAGGTACCGCTCCCAACGGTCAAAGTGTAAAATTATTATATATAATACAATTTGAAAATATAAACATAATATCAACACATATTACTAGTCCATCCTGGTATGAGGTTGATGTCGCTGTTCGTGTCGTCGCACCATTGGACTGCTCTTCCTCTGTGTCCTCGGATGGCGGCGAGGGTTGTGCGGAGGATTGAGAAGCGGAGTTTTCGGCGTATGTGAGAAATCGTATCACTATAGGGTGTTCCCCTTTTGTTTGATATGAGTGTTGCGATTCTCTTATGGAAAGCTTCAGCCTCTTTCCCCATGCTTCCCCATGCTTCAGTTCACCGATCATGTCACGTTTCGCACCTAAATTTGTGTCCCTCTTGATTGTGTGGGCCTCCAAGACAGTGAGAAGGTGGTTACAGAAACAGGAGTTTATAAAAGGGGCCATATCCCTTCTTTTAAAATCTAACAAAGTGTTTTGCGAGTTTTGCGACCATCACGACTGCCCCACAGCTGAATATCACGAGTTTTGTAATCGAAGAATGAAGATGTAAAATCGAATGTGCACCTGTTCATGCTAGACGCTAGTCGCCAGTGTACAGTCCTATGATTGAATCATGTTAGTGTAGCACGTGTTAGTGTAGCACGTGACTACCATACTATATTACTCTTTTTACTTTCAACACTACTATATAACAAATAATTTAGTAGTTTTACGAAGATTTCAAGCCTTACGTTGTGTGTTTCCCTTCGTGTCCTAAAGCATTATACTATACTAGCAGGGACCCGTATAACCCTAAAATGGTGTCAAGACTCGAGAGACTTAAATAATTATTGCCTATTTAATTCGCGTTTTTGACACCACTTGGGAGTCCAAATTTTAGGCACTAAAATTCTTATTCCTTGGCCAATTTTGTATGTTTTCATGCTGATTTGAAGGCCATTAAAGCATTTGACCTAGTCAAAAAAGTTTCAATTGTATATCTTTTACGGTTTTTGCGGAACGTCGCGTTAAAGTTGATGCCGTGGTGTCAGTAAAATGGCACGGATCCATATATATATGGATATATATGTATATATATATGGATATATATGTATATATATATACATATATATCGTCTCGCTTTATATATAGTAAGATTACTCATTGTATAGGCATTACGTGACATAAAGACATAAATATTAAATAACCTCCGCTAATTTGAACAAGTGAAACAATTTTTCAAGATCTGAGAAAAGCTGACTATACTTTCAACGCATTCAATGAAGATCTTAATCAATTCACAAATACAGCATTCAAGATGACATGTGTTGGTTTGGTGCAGCAGACTGTAACTACGTTTTTATATACATATCCGTCAAAAATTTCAGAATTATGATAAAATCAGTAGCTTTAAATCAAAACTCTTATATCAAAATTGATCTGACAGTAAAGATAAAAAGTGTTATTTAAAGACTGCTATGTTTAGCAGGTTTAATGCTAAACTACGGCCATGAGAAGAATGGTACCATTCTTACTAAAAAGATCATGGAGCTCTAAACAGTTCCAATAAGAATATCGACAAAACTCTGGAAACAAATCCCGTGAATGGTTTTGTAAAAGTTTAATAACTGAAATAAAATAAAGACTAAAATAGACTGAGGCACTAAATATACTGGAAGGTAAATTACAACTTGTATTTAATTTGTTTATTAAAAATTCAAATTCGATATTCCATGTAATTATGAAAACTAAAAGTTCAAACAAGCCCATCACTTTAATAACTGTTAACATAAAATTAAAAATATCAATCTACAATTGTAAAAACTAAATTCTAGTGCAGACCCCTTCCACTCGAATTTGGTTAAAAATATTGAAATTAGAAATCAAGTAAAAGTTATGAATCTAAATATACATTTAAGTTTATATCACAAAATTTCATTCTTAATCTCATAATATAATTTAAACTAAGAGTTCAAGGATGAAGATTCTCGCTATACTAGTCCGATCAAAGTCAATAATTAGTTAGCACAACAAGAATTGTTGTTAACAAAATTTAATTTGCCTCAATTAACCGTTAGGCGTTAACTAAATAAATAGTCAATTTGTAGTAACCACAAATACTTCAACGTTTGACATGATATTGTTGATTACGACTTCACAGCGACTGAAATCAACATATTTAATTTGTCTGCCACTACATTCACACATTCATACTCAAAGTTCAATGTCAACTTCTCCTTTGGTAGCCACGTTGACGTGAACTTCTCCGTTCTTTGCGTTCCTTTTACCACCCTATAGAAAAAAGGTGTTACCAAGGTGTTACTGAGGTGTTACTTAGGTGTTACTACCATGATTTTAGGTTATACAAAAAAGATTCTGAACATGACATTGGGTATTGATTATATTTAAATCATTTGTGTTTTCCTAGCTACAAGTACAATCAAGGAAAATAATCAAGGAAAACAATCAGGGAATACAGTTCAGGTTCATGCGATGATTGTGAAGTATTGTAACATGCGATTTTAATGATTGGAAATAATATTTACAGCTATAGCAGGGAAAATTATTTCTGTTAAGTGTTAAGATTTGCGGCAAGATAGTCGTATCCAGCATTTAACATTTAACAATCATACCTGCATATCTACCACAATAACTTCAATTTCGGGCTCGGATTTCTTTTTCTTTGAGCTTATGAAATCATTAAACCCCTCTATAAGATCCGGGTGACCATCGAAAAGAATCTTAACCTCTGCTCTGAGATCTGATTTACTAAGTTTCTTAGGTTTAAAGTCATTTAGCATTTTTAGAAAAGTCTTATAAACTTCAGGTTGATCCGCAAATCTGGTCTGGACTTGATCCACGAACTCAGTGGCCGCATTGAATTTAGGGTGGGACTCTGGTGATGCCGCCAGATCCGTGATGATTTCCTTATCAGAATCAATTGCTGCCGGGTTCTTCGTAACCTGATACATTTTACTATATAGATACCGTAGACCCGGCCAAGTATATTATGTGCCCACTATTTTATCAGCTCCTTGTTTCTGTTATTGATGTATTCAACATATTTGCATAAAAGAACCTTGTGCAATCAAAACGGATTGGATTCATTGAAAAGTTTGGCATATTTATCAATATGGGCATACTTTATACATACTGTACAGCAGCAATCATGGCTTTCTAAAGACTAAAATACCATTGAACTAATCATTAGGATTCTATTTTAAAATAATTATTTTCATGACCCCGACCGTACCTGAAGTACATCGACTACTGTGTATTCATTTTCCGTAGTTTGATTTTTCCCCTTCGATTTCAAGAACTCATTGAAGGCATCCACCAGGTCCGGATGCCCTTGAAACAGCACCTCAACCTTTCCCGCCAAGTCCGATCTATTTATGTTCTTAGCTCTGTATTCTGTGAGGGTGTTCAAAAATGCTCGATAAATATCCGGTGCTTTCTCGAAACGGTCCTGTACTCTGTCCAGGAAATTAACAGCATCATGGAATTTAGGATGAGACTCGGGCGGGGACAGGTTAGTTTCCTGAACCGGATTTCTGATGACCGTTGGTTCCAGAGGTATCGGCTTCTCCTGCAACGAATAATTCTCTGTACAGGGCGCCAACTAATTGCTGGGGTGTGATACTGATAGCATGGTAGTTGTGGGGGTTAATGGGGCCACCACTTAAGTTTATTAAATAACCACTCGGATCCTTGCCAATTGTGCTAACATGCTCTACCAATTAGATAAACAGCAATTTAAAGACCAATAACAGATGTTGACTGTTGATATAAGTTGGCCACCTAGGCCACCTTGCACCTTCAAATCACCAGTGTACAAATTGCCCTTAATAACATCACCAAGCACATCTTTAATAGACTCGACTATTATAGCATCTAAACTGGTAGATGAATAGCTGGCCGCGTGTTATTAGTCCAGGGAAACAATTAGCTAGAGATACAGGCTGTGTCACATGGGAACACGGCACAATGGCTACTTACAAAAGGAGTGAAATGTGAAAACATGACAAAGACCACATTCTACTCTCTTCTTAGAAACGCAGTTGGAATGTGAACCGGTACCTGAACGCTGGTAGGTCACATGAGATGTTTACCTAACACTTATAGCTATATAGCCACTTTGTGTTCACATTCAACTGATATAGAGGGCTATTAAAGCTCGGTAATTATTGTGAACGAAGAGACGGTGGTTCTTTGTCACGTCAGCTAATGAACTATTTAAATGAAACAGAATGTTTTTTTAAAAGAATGATGTCTACTTGTCTAGCCAATTAAGGGACGTACAGCAAATATAAAGCTTTTCAACTTTGGAGCTATAAACTTCTCAGAGCGATAATATGAAAAACACAAGCTTTCCCGCTCATCACTCACCAGATACAATGCTAATTTCATGAATTTAAAGAGATATAGTTAATGGTGAAAGCTTAGAAACAGAACGTTTGCATATAAATGAAATAAAAAAATGCTTTTCTTAACTAAGTTAGTTAACTTGGTTAAGTTAACTAAGTTCGTTAGTATTGAACAGATCACAAAGAGATTTGGAAACGCTATATCTTACCTTTGTCTTTTTGCGTTTTGCGCAACATGTTCGGCAGCAGATGAACGCGAAAATGATGAAGAGGAGCCCTACAGCAATACAGATGGCTACGATTATTCCACCCCAGTTCGTTTCTGCGGGTAGGGTTGGTTTAGTGTTTTCTAACAACAATATTGCTCTTGATTAACCGTTCATTGAGAAAGGAAGCTGCCACAAAACTCCCCTTTTATCATTTCTCTGAGCAGTAAAAACAGAATCTTCACAATCCCATGCTTCAAAGTTGATGCCACCCTTTATCTCTTTATAATGCCATCTGGCAGCATCGTACACACTCCATCAAACGAAACATTTGTTATTGCTTAAATCATATTAAATCCACCATTCTCTTCTACATTCAAGGCAGCTAATTCTATTTTGTATAACCAATTTTAGAACTCCAGAATGCTATTTAACAAATTCAATATCATCTAACTTATAGAATAACGTCAGAAAGGGTCGAAGTTAACTAACTACAGTATTATACAAGTAAAAATCTCCGCAAGCAACCCTCGCGCGAATAATGAAATGTTGGGTACTTACTTTCCTTGGGGTCGAATGTAACAGTAAACTGAAAGAAATGTACACCGTTAGTAAATGTTATACAGTTTCCATGGATAATTCGCATAATAGTTTGCCACAATATATAGCACAGAATTTTCAACTTGAGATTGGGGACATCACGGTCAAAGCTTATTCTTTGTTAAATTACGGAGAAATAGAATTCTCATAGACTTACTTCTCGACTAAACTCGGCCTCTTGTCCATCATACGAAAACCGGAAAGCACACCCATATTTCTCATCCAAAATTGGTTCCTTTTGATCCTCCTTCTTCTTCAACAACTCCAGTTCATTAAATTTAACTGCTGCCGTATTCGCATCTGGATAAACCAATTCCTCCAATATCTTTCCAGATACCAAATGTGTTATATCACTCTCTGAATGAGGAGTATGTTACACTTATTATCTTCACTTAATGAGGAAAAAGTTACACTAATCATTTTCACTTAATGATGAATATGTTGCACTCACTATCATCACTTTATGAGAATTTCGCCCTAACGTGCTCTATTTTTACATTTGAGTCAATCATAAAGTATTTGCAGCCTTTAAAATGCTGCAAAGTGTCAATTTACTTACCTTCTAGTTTGCCTTCTCCTGGGTTATCAATAAATGTGCAAACAAAAGCATCCTCTTCCCTCTCCTTCTCATCCATCCGTTCGTAATACACCACTTGGAGCCCAGGGTGGTTCTTCCAATCAACAGAGGGGACCGAATTTATATCTGTAGGTGGGAGAGTGTGTTAGAGCAAATCGGGCTGTTTCTATGGTGACGCGTAACTAGACGTGTATGGAATGTTAAGTGGAATGTTAAGTGGAATTTTGCAGAATTCCATTGTTTAAGGTTCCCAGTTTTACATTCCGGAACGCATCCAGATTGAATTGCTTGGAAGGAAACTCAATTATGGGCACTGCTCCCGGAATTTAAGGGAGATTTTGTTTGTATAAGCGATGGAATTTCTTTGAATTGAATAGATTGACTGGTGGACTAATAAAAACACTAATAACGCTAATAAGATGGTAGTAAGTGCCAAGTGGAACTGGTGAAAGTGGAAGAATAGCTTAAATTAGCTCTGTAAAAGTCGGTTATAAAATAATATGAGTAGTGATACATTTCAGTATTATGTATCACGATGGAAATATTTTAAGCCAGTCCAAACCAGCTGGCTCCATAACATGAAGACTTCGTTTTAACAATTGTATGAAAAGCACGAATAAGTAAATTCAAAAATAGAAAATTTTGGCGGAAGAAAAATTACCGATCTGATAGAATCTGAGTTTGGAGTAACCAGTACTGGCATCATTCAGTTTCACAGTGGCGTCAACTTCAAACTTGTAAGTTTCACTTACAATGGGCCACACTTGCAGAGTCACCTTACTCTCTTCAATTTTGCTGAAAAGAATTTATTGTAGATTTTAGAAAGTGCCAACAACAAAATTATATTAAGTTTAAGAGATTTATAAATACTGTAGTCAAGGGTAAAATACTTGACGAATTCATGCAGCAAATTAAAATATTAGTAGAAATATTTAAAATGTATCTTACAAGTTGTATTTTGCGACTGCTACATTGAATGTTACACTTGGTGCTCCATTATAACCAGTAATTTCATACACTGATTCTCCCATAACATTCCCTGCTTCTATCAAGGCTCCATCGTATATCTCCAGAGTATTTACAGGATCCTCCTCTGAAATTGATACTCGTTAGATGAAATTGATACTCGTAAGACGAAATTGATACTTGTTAGCTGTTAATTAGAAACAATGATTAAAACTTTTGAATTATGACTAACTATTTGTTTCAGAATATGGCACTAACCAGTGCCAAGACACGTATAACAGATCAGGGAACTTGAAGTCTTAAAATCAAGTTCATAATACAAAAGTAACTTAGTCCCACGAAAACACAGTAACGGGGTCACTACTACACGTTACACAGAGTAACGGGTCACTACTACACTACTTATTTGTTGGATTTAACAGTTGACAATACGCTTGGAACTGTGTAGCTCATATCGTGGTAAGTGGCCCCCTTTTCTACCGTGCCCCCTTTTCTACAGTGTAAACTTAAAAGAACAGCTCACCTGTACCCAGCTTATTACAATGCAAAACATCGAACAAAGTCACTGAAAACGCCAGGAAACGCACAAAACCGCACATGATACAGTTACTATTTACTAAGCTACATTCCACACAACTTTACGAGACTTCAAGCAACTGAATGGCACTGAATGCGATGACCGATCGTGAACGAAACGAAAGAACGAGAAATGAAAACACATTAATACCGGTGTGTCACACATGTTATTAGTGTTATTAGTCAATACCGGCATTACCGACACTCCATATCACATTTCTTATGATTAACATAATAGAATCTCGAGTTACACACGGGAAGGTGTCTAAGGGGTCATGACAAAAGCTCCCAGTAGTTACTATGGTGGTTACCATGGTAACAGTTGGTGGTTTCCATGGTTATACTTACGGTATACTTGGAGGTATTTCCGTGCGTATTCAGCGCCTCCAGATACGACTCCCTTCACTACGAAGCTTGTGGAGGACTTAACGGTGTCTGAAATTAGTAAGATTAGTAAAATTTATATTAAAATTAGTAAAATTATTAAAATTAGCGAGATTGTTATTCCACGGAAACACACAATAATCCATACCACTGATGGACCATAGATTATGGTTAATCTATATCTTTTAAACGTTATTCGAGCCCAGAATATAGGTTGCGTAATAAGTCAACAATTAAATATTCTCCAACTAGCTGGGAGGGTAATAGTACAGTAGGTGGCTACTAACTAGCTGGGAGGGTAATAGTACAGTAGGTGGCTACTAACTAGCTGGGAGGGTAATAGTACAGTAGGTGGCTACTTACTAGCTGGGAGGGTAATAGTACAGTAGGTGGCTAATTACTAGCTGGGAGGGTAATAGTACAGTAGGTGGCTACTTACTAGCTGGGAGGGTAATAGTACAGTAGGTGGCTACTTACTAGCTGGGAGGGTAATAGTACAGTAGGTGGCTACTTACTAGCTGGGAGGGTAATAGTACAGTAGGTGGCTACTTACTAGCTGGGAGGGTAATAGTACAGTAGGTGGCTACTTACTAGCTGGGAGGGTAATAGTACAGTAGGTGGCTACTTACTAGCTGGGAGGGTAATAGTACAGTAGGTGGCTACTTACTAGCTGGGAGGGTAATAGTACAGTAGGTGGCTACTTACTAGCTGGGAGGGTAATAGTACAGTAGGTGGCTACTTACTAGCTGGGAGGGTAATAGTACAGTAGGTGGCTACTTACTAGCTGGGAGGGTAATAGTACAGTAGGTGGCTACTTACTAGCTGGGAGGGTAATAGTACAGTAGGTGGCTACTTACTAGCTGGGAGGGTAATAGTACAGTAGGTGGCTACTTACTAGCTGGGAGGGTAATAGTACAGTAGGTGGCTACTTACTAGCTGGGAGGGTAATAGTACAGTAGGTGGCTACTTACTAGCTGGGAGGGTAATAGTACAGTAGGTGGCTACTTACTAGCTGGGAGGGTAATAGTACAGTAGGTGGCTACTTACTAGCTGGGAGGGTAATAGTACAGTAGGTGGCTACTTACTAGCTGGGAGGGTAATAGTACAGTAGGTGGCTACTTACTAGCTGAGAGGGTAATAATACAGTAGGTAGCTACTTACTAGCTGGGAGGGTAATAGTACAGTAGGTGGCTACTTACTAGCTGGGAAGTGGGAGGGTAATAGTACAGTAGGTGGCTACTTACTAGCTGGGAGGGTAATAATACAGTAGGTAGCTACTTACTAGCTGGGAGGGTAATAGTACAGTAGGTGGCTACTTACTAGCTGGGAGGGTAATAGTACAGTAGGTGGCTACTTACTAGCTGGGAGGGTAATAGTACAGTAGGTGGCTACTTACTAGCTGGGAGGGTAATAGTACAGTAGGTGGCTACTTACTAGCTGGGAGGGTAATAGTACAGTAGGTGGCTACTTACTAGCTGGGAGGGTAATAGTACAGTAGGTGGCTACTAACTAGCTGGGAGGGTAATAGTACAGTAGGTGGCTACTTACTAGCTGGGAGGGTAATAGTACAGTAGGTGGCTACTTACTAGCTGGGAAGTGGGAGGGTAATAGTACAGTAGGTGGCTACTTACTAGCTGGGAGGGTAATAGTACAGTAGGTGGCTACTTACTAGCTGGGAGGGTAATAGTACAGTAGGTGGCTACTTACTAGCTGGGAGGGTAATAGTACAGTAGGTGGCTACTTACTAGCTGGGAGGGTAATAGTACAGTAGGTGGCTACTTACTAGCTGGGAGGGTAATAGTACAGTAGGTGGCTACTTACTAGCTGGGAGGGTAATAGTACAGTAGGTGGCTAATTACTAGCTGGGAGGGTAATAGTACAGTAGGTAGCTACTTACTAGCTGGGAGGGTAATAGTACAGTAGGTGGCTAATTACTAGCTGGGAGGGTAATAGTACAGTAGGTGGCTACTTACTAGCTGGGAGGGTAATAGTACAGTAGGTGGCTACTTACTAGCTGGGAGGGTAATAGTACAGTAGGTGGCTTCGTTCTCTGCAACTACATATTTTTCTGAGTTTGATCTCTTTTTCCTCCCATAATATCCCGGATTAGTTTGTCTCTTGTACGTTTTTCCAGTTGATTCGTCAAACCTGAAGATTCAAGTCAGCAGAGGCACACTAGACAGAATTTATTTGAGTTATTTATATTATCTAAACTTACAAAATCTGACGCGAAAATGTGTTACACTATGCACATGAACATCACCTTCAGTTGTCAGTTATGTTTATTGTTCAACCTACCATGAGCAGCCAAGATTAACAACTTTTTTACTGAAATACACCTTCAGTTTAATTCCATCGTTGTATTCAACATAGTCGGTGGTGTGGTCAAATTCTGCAAAAAAGGGGATATTAGCGGATATTAGCAGATATTAGCAGATATTAGTGGAACTGAGAGGTGATTTATAATAATAAAACCACGATTTACCACGATTTACCGCGTTTTCTTCCATTCCGCCAGTCTCTGTAGTAACTAGTAAATCAGGGTTTTACCAGATAAAACATCACCAACTTTCTTTGTAAAAAATTGACCGAATCTTACTGAAATCTAAGAGTAAGATGCAATGATCTGTACCAAAAACTCAAAAAGAAAGCTAGATCGTACCTATGACGTGACCTATGACGTACCTATGACGTGAATGTCTGCGCTATCTGAGGTCATCACCACATGTCCCACATCCTCAATATCGTAGTCAACAGAACAGGAATATTTTCCATTGTGTTTAGGATAATATGCTGCTATTTTGAAAGAAGATCCGTCCGGATTCCCGCTGTCTACAGCAATACCCGAATCTTCCCCGTTTATGAGTAGGGTTGCTTTCCAAGTTTTAAGGTCTGGATTAGCCTTGAGAATTTGATCTATAAGACATTCCACCTCAATAGTGGCCATCTCCTCGACTGTTGCAGCGGTCACTAACTTTACTGTCGGTTTACCTGATAAGTAATGATTTACTTGACAAATAATGATTTGCCTGATAATCATAAATAATGATTTGCTTGACGTGAGTCCAACACAGTTGTTATCAGCTTAATTCAAAAAGTAAGCTATTAAATAACTTCAAGTTAATAAAGTATTGAAAACCAGGAATACAAAAGGAATGCTACACAGTTTAATAAGATGTGTATTACATAGTTTAGAGAGATGCTTATTGTCTAACTGTGTTGTGATTACGTCACATGATTACGTCACATGATTACGTCACATGATTACGTCACGTGTTTGCACTGTGATTAAAGTACCAACTCAAAAACTGGATTTACATAGTTTCAACATTTATTGATTTTGTATTAACCCTTCGGGGCTCGCGTGACCCTTATCATAGAACTGGTTTTCAGGACTGGCAGTCTGACCTATTGCCTTGCCAGCATAGGTGCACTTATATAGTTTTGCATGGTTCAGTTGCATAGTAGTGTCCGAATTGCACTGATTCTAGCCCGAGTAGTGTTCGAAAGGGCGCCCTGTTTTGACATACCTCCTGAGCCGGTACTCATTTCCTCTCTGAGCTAGCTAGTGTATATCAGTTTTTTGTTGGTGTTTTGTCTGTGTTTGTTTGTCCGTAGTAGGAATTTACTGTAAATTTGGAGACTGGGCGCAGTAATGTCCCAGAGGGTTTGTAACATCATGGATGCTGACTAAGCTTACCTGATCCTCTCCAACTTGTATTAGTACACTACTTCATCCACACCAGTCATTTCACTACATTAAACTGATTGAGGTTATGCCCTTTGTACATGCTGAAGCAATATGCTATGATGAGTGGAATATGAGTTAGGATCAGTTTGGTCCGTTTCATGGCAAAAACATTTATTGATTTTGTATTAACCCTTCGGGGCTCGCGTGACCCTTATCATAGAACTGGTTTTCAGGACTGGCAGTCTGACCTATTGCCTTGCCAGCATAGGTGCACTTATATAGTTTTGCATGGTTCAGTTGCATAGTAGTGTCCGAATTGCACTGATTCTAGCCCGAGTAGTGTTCGAAAGGGCGCCCTGTTTTGACATACCTCCTGAGCCGGTACTCATTTCCTCTCTGAGCTAGCTAGTGTATATCAGTTTTTTGTTGGTGTTTTGTCTGTGTTTGTTTGTCCGTAGTAGGAATTTACTGTAAATTTGGAGACTGGGCGCAGTAATGTCCCAGAGGGTTTGTAACATCATGGATGCTGACTAAGCTTACCTGATCCTCTCCAACTTGTATTAGTACACTACTTCATCCACACCAGTCATTTCACTACATTAAACTGATTGAGGTTATGCCCTTTGTACATGCTGAAGCAATATGCTATGATGAGTGGAATATGAGTTAGGATCAGTTTGGTCCGTTTCATGGCAAAAACATTTATTAGTTTAATAAGATATGTATTACATAGTTTAGAGAGACGCTATACTTGTAGCTTTGTAAACAGATTTGTGATATGTATTACTATGTACCTGCGAGGATAAATTTGATCGTTACTTCAGTAACAGAATCGTCGTTAAGAGTTACTGTAGCGACCATTTCCATCTCGTTAGCTTTAACGACCGCAGGGTCCACTGTTATCACTACTTCAAGGTTTGAGGCCGTGTGTGACCTAAAGGATTTAACCTTTATCTAATTTATTTAACTCAATTTTTGTTTAATTTATTTTAATGATTTTAGAACAAGCTGAAAGTATGCAATTTGAAAGAACAGATTACTTTTCATGTTTCATTACAAAATTACAAAACTTTTACAACCAGACAATAATAGTTGTCCTGTAAACTGTAAAATGACTTACGAGGTGGATTTGTCAGATTCAGGAACCGTTGTCACTGTGGGTGTTCCTTCATAATTGCTGATAGGTATGTTGACATGTACGTCGAGTGCCTCGGTCCGGTCGTCAGCGAAAAATCTTTCCACATCCAATTTTTCTAAGGGAAATTGGACAAGCGGTAAGATTACGAACACGTCTGACTCAATTAGATTCTTCATAAAATAGTAACTAAAGAGTCACTTAACAGTACCTTAACAGTAACTTAACAGTAACTTAACAGTAACTTAACAGTAACTTAACAGTAACTTAACAGTACCTTAACAGTAACTTAACAGTAACTTAACAGTAACTTAACAGTAACTTAACAGTAACTTAACAGTAACTTAACAGTAACTTAACAGTAACTTAACAGTACCTTAACAGTACCTTAACAGTAACTTAACAGTAACTTAACAGTAACTTAACAGTAACTTAACAGTAACTTAACAGTAACTTAACAGTAACTAAAAAGGGACTTGTACTCACGAAAGACTTGGACGTATTGGCGGTGATTAACAACTGTATCATCATCATCTAACATAGCTGTAACCTTGAAACTAGTACCTTGCACCATAACACCTGAAATTATTAATAAATTGATATAAAATAAGAAAACAATTCCAAGAATGTACCTAAAATGTATCATAAGAATATTGTTCAAACGATCTCTTCCATGTTACCCTGACCTTTGCAATATATTTTGAACATAAATCCTATCTTCTCGATAAAACTAATCGGACAAATGAAGCAAACACAACAGTACGGCTCATATCTTGAGTTTCACATAGCTTTACCCGGATTTCTCTTTAGTATATTAATAAAGATATATAAAAATATATAAAATATTTAAATATAAACTGAATGAGAACCTGGAGCAATGCTGAGGATGGTAGATTCGCCGTTCTGAGTAACGGTATAATCGCCAGCTGCCCGTTTCTGATCATCAGCTACTTCGTACGCTGTGTCTGTCTGCTCGTCAAGCCTAGCAGGAACAATACCGTTACCTTATTGCAGATAATTTAAATTTTTACAGGGTCATCCGTAAACTAGCTGTTTACTTGTTTTAAAACATATTATAAGAGATACGAAAAGTTTGTTTTAGCAGCTTTAGTAGCTGAACTGTCAAGTGCTTGCAGCTTGTATCAGACTAGTTGTACACAGCTGATAAGTCATAATCATATCAGCCATGTGACAGTTACTGTATAGTGTATGTGTGACAGTGACTGTATGTGTGACAGTGACTGTGTGATAGTGATTGTGTGATAGTGATCGTGTGATAACAGTGTATATGTGAAAGCTCTACAATTATTGTTAACATACCATACAGACGATTTGGATTTCAAATCACCGGAGAACTTCACAGTCATTGCGATTCCCTCTCTACTAGACACATAGTCTACTGACGCCGTAAATCCTGAATATTTAACGTTGTAATTACGTCACATAATTACGTCACATGATTACGTCACATGATTACGTCACATGATTACGTCACATGATTACGTCACATGATTACGTCACATGATTACGTCACGTGTTTGCACTGTGATTACAGTACCAACTTAAATACTGGATCTTAACAAAATCGTACTTCTAATCTAACCAACTTTATAACGACCTAAGTTTGTAACATATGATAAATCTAACCTTTAACAGCAACATTGATTTTAGACGTGATCAATTGTAAATTCGCTCCCTTATATGTATACATCACAACACAAAAGTAATGTCCATCGTCGCTCAACCCAACTGCCCCGATACTGTCGATAAAGTGTGTGTCATCTGCTCTGACCATCTCGCCAAGCTCATTCGGGTCTCTCCATAAAACTGTTTTTTTTGTGAGTCCGTCACGCATAATGACGCTGCATGTGAAAGAAAGCTCTTCACCTTCGTCAATATCAAGATCGATGCCGTCCATTGTACCTCCGGTTGCCTCAATGGCAGGCTTATCTGCGATAATATAGTCATTTGTATCGTACATTCCTTAGAAATCAAGGATACCAACCATGTTCAAATGAACTTTACGAGGAGCAAACCTTGTCCAAAACTAACTGAATTTGGGTAGGAACCGAGTAACTAAAAAGCCCACCATCATGATAGTCAAATAAGACAATGAAACATTTTTAATTCCGTACCTATAACTATGTAATCATTCGCCATTTGGAGTTCCACGACAACGTTACCGCTGTTGGCACGCGTGAAACATTTGTAACTTTGCATTTGCGCGTCACTTTCTGCAGTTACTGAAAAAGTGGTGTTATTTTAGCAAGATCTGCAGGGACCAATAACAGGCTGTAATGTAACTTAAACCTGATAAAGAAATTTGCCAACCAGAAGTATCATCTCCTTTTTTAACCTCCATGTCATGTTGATGATACTAACCGATGAGAGAACTGGTTCTTGAAAAATCAATAGTGCTGTAGCCATACTGCGATATAGATGTAATCCCATCGTCACTATCTGTAACCTCATCGTCACCCCTAAACCACTTTATGTCAACATCCGACTCGCCAACAACCATACAATTGATCCGTGCGTCTTCACCTTTTACAAACATCACAAAACTGTTTAAGATCATAACTGAAACAAATAAGTGTTGGGTCACAACAAGAATCATATTCGAAAGTAGTAGCCGGTGTAACACGTGGCAAATGGTAAAATAAACATACTGGAAAGTTTCATCTCAATTGGTAAAATATGATGGAAATTATCTGCTTGGCCAAATGTGCATTTATACGTGGCCCTTTCTGAGTTGGCAGTATTTATGGCAACTTTCCAGCAGCCAAACAAATAATACAACTTACTTCTGTCCATAACAGGGACCTTGACTTCAGGAATGAATAAGATGTCTCCCAAAAGACCTTGTCCAGCTAAAGAGCTTGATCGATCAACATCGATTTTGACAAAGAGAGCGATGTTGTTATCTCCAGCAGGACCATTAGGGCGAGTGGTTGTGTATTCATATTTACATGTCAATGAACCGCACGTCATATCCGCTGCGTTCAACATAATATCCTGTATAAAGTGTTGTCATGTTGTCTGTAGTTTGGTGGGGATAAGGGATTGATCGCATTTTGCCGCCACCTCTATTAGTAGAAATTGGAAATGCGAATAAAGATATTTTCCTTTAGTTCCAGCCAGCTAAGACAGGTTTCATACGGGTCGTTATGGGCAAAAATCACAGCGAATAAAAGTCAGTAACTATTCATATTTGGAGGTGCACTGGGATAATTGTTGATACATGATGCGGCAAAATAAGCCCCCCCCTAACAACTAAGTTACTTACTCTGGTTTCTGCATCCCCGATATTCACTCGATAAGTTAAGCTTCCAACTTTTTCAACCTCAACCACAATCGTTACATCCTCAGAATCCATCCAAAATATCGGCTGAATTTCAGGACTCAAAACTAAAAGGTTTAATAGGATTAATAGTTGTTTTAAAATGTATGGCAATATATATATAATATGTATATATATGTTTTAAGACACGTACCAGCGGCCAAAGAAATCCGTGCTGTGAATATTGAACACTTGTAGTTTACGATATCATCCGTGTACAATGTATACAATGTATACAATGTATAAAGTGTACTGATGACAATGAAGAACAGACCAGAGGTTACTATGTATGTTTATAAACGACATTATATCTGCTTACCCTTTTTGACTTCTACTTCAGTTATTTTAGCTGAGTCTAAGTTATCCATCTTGCACTTGTAACTCCCAGCAGTGCTAGCGTCTATCCCTCCAGTGATTGTAAGGACACTCTCATAGATTCCGTTAAGTTTATCCTCAAAATTGGTGAACCCACCGGTCAACAAATTGTTATCTGAAACGATAGTCATATTGATATAGAAGCCACTAATAATACCTCACGTTGATCAGATTTCGAATATCTCACTTTGAAACCAAAAAATGTTTAAAATGTAGAAATTAATTCAAACGATCCGGATGGAATGAAGTTCGTTAGCCTATGTTTAAAGAATTAAATTAAATTCGATACGGACTATGCCATCTACTAATAATAATCCACATAAAATTGAAATTACAATTATAATGATTACGAAAACAATTACAAATTACAATTGAGAAATATTTGCAAACCTTTGTACCACTGAGGTGTGAAGCCTTTGTCTCCATCATTGGAATCAGCAGTAAGATGGCATGTTAGCTTAGCATTAGCAAGGGAATCTTTATACACGGCCACTGTGCCAGGCTGCGTTACGTATATTTCTGGGCGAAGTTAAATTAATTGGTTTCATACGAGACACATTGATAGCTGTGGTTATAATTTATAATTTTTTATCGAACTGACTAACTTAAGTTTTGAATGGAAATCAATAGTTATTCACTATTGGTGACCTGAGGAAACCTCTTTGCTTGATACTAATAATATGAATAAAGTAATGGTGATTTACCTCTTTGCTTGACAGTAATAGTGCTGATTGGCCCCATCATAGCTGAGGAGACCCCATCTCCGCTGACACCGATCGCACATTCCACGACCCTGTCAGCCAGGCCAGCGTTCAACAACACATACTTGTCCTGTGCAACGCAACGTGGTTAGGTTGTTAGTTTCATTAATTAATTAGTTTTATTAATTAATTAACGTGATTAACCAATTAGTTTGATTAATTAATTAGTTTGATTAAATAGTTTGATTAATTAATTAGTTTGATTAAATAGTTTGATTGATTAATTATGTTTAATTTATTTACCAACTAATTACTTAATTGAATGATCGATTAATGAACCATTGGACAAACCAGCTTTTTATTTATTCATTCTGTGCATTTTTTAGCTCTGAATGGTTGTGGTAATGTTTGTTGGTAAATGGTGATTATGTCGGATACGGGCCCCGAAGATTATTGTACTTGTGACTTATACAGCAGGGTGTCAGAATTATTGGCGTGTTTGAAATTTTATGTGTATTTTATGATGAAATCAATATTTTTCGACGGGTCATAACTTTACTTCTGAATATCGAAATTAAAAAATTCAAAAACTGGTCTGTAGACAATCAGCTGAACTTTTTCAGAATTTCAGAATTTTGTGTTGTTGTACCTCAAAACCCATAATTTAGGCCGTTATTTAAAGGGTCGATTCCATACTTGGTTAGATTTACGCAGAAGTAAGGGATTTATGTGTATTTTTTTTTTCGGTGAATTTTTTCTGAAATTATTCTTTAGACTAAAGTGCACAGCTCTTCAGGCGATAGCGAAACATATCGAAAACTATAGATTTTATAAAAGCTCTCTTTCTCCTCTAACTGACGCAATAAAATATAGTCGGGCGGACTCATCCCGGAATTCAGGGGAAGCAGCCGAAGGCTTCAAGTCCAATAATCCAAATTTTTCTCTTTCGTCGTGATTATCGACGAAATTCAACTTCTTTCGGACTTCGTTTTTAGACTGAACTGTAGTATAAACGATTATCGAGACTCTATAGAATGATCAAGACTCTATAGGAAACTGACCCTCAGAAGTCAAGTAATGATCGTTTCTAAAAGCTTGGGTAAGCTAAAATTTCACGCAAAATTGTCTACGCGCCAATAATTATGACACCCTGCTGTAGTTATTTATACTGTAGTGTATAAAAAAAGCTTCATTTGAGTTAGATAATTGCAAGTGGGATAAAGAGGGTTTTTTAAAATTAATGTTAAATAGTATTAACAATCATGCAGATGACAGTAAATTACCTCGCCTTGTGTCTGTAGGTTAAGAATCGTGCAGAATGCAGATGACAGTAAATTACCTCGCCTTGTGTCTGTAGGTTAAGAATCATGCAGAATGCAGATGACAGTAAATTACCTCGCCTTGTGTCTGTAGGTTAAGAATCGTGCCGTCACCCGAGGCCCTGAATTTGTAAGTCATAACGAGACCATCCGTAGTTGAAGGTACTGGATCAAACACGTACCCTCCAGATTTCAGGGTAATTTCATCCTCAGACCCGAGGTACCAATATTTGCTTTGAGGTGTCGCTGAAATGGGGTAACTATGTAAGTACGCGAACTACGTAAGTACGTGAACTACGTAAGTACGTGAACTACGTAAGTACGTGAACTACGTAAGTACGTGAACTACGTAAGTACGTGAACTACGTAAGTACGTGAACTACGTAAGTACGTGAACTATGTAAGTACGTGAACTAGGTAAGTACGTGAACTACGTAAGTACGTGAACTAAGTAAGTACGTGAACTAAGTAAGTACGTGAACTACGTAAGTACGTGAACTAAGTAAGTACGTGAACTACGTAAGTACGTGAACTACGTAAGTACGTGAACTACGTAAGTACGTGAACTACGTAAGTACGTGAACTACGTAAGTACGTGAACTACGTAAGTACGTGAACGAAGTAAGTATGTGAACTAAGTAAGTACGTGAACTACGTAAGTACGTGAACTACGTAAGTACGTGAACTATGTTAGTACTTGAACTACGTAAGTACGTGAACTAAGTAAGTACGTGAACTAAGTAAGTACGTGAACTAAGTAAGTACGTGAACTACGTAAGTACGTGAACTACGTAAGTACGTGAACTACGTAAGTACGTGAACTACGTAAGTACGTGAACTACGTAAGTACGTGAACTACGTAAGTACGTGAACTACGTAAGTACGTGAACTACGTAAGTACGTGAACTACGTAAGTACGTGAACGAAGTAAGTATGTGAACTAAGTAAGTACGTGAACTACGTAAGTACGTGAACTATGTTAGTACTTGAACTACGTAAGTAAGTGAAATATGTAAGTACGTGAAGTCGTGAACTATGTAAGTATGTGAACCAGAACAATAGTCGTAGAATTGAATGAAATATTTTTCAAAAATACACCAGAAAGGTTAGTAAGGGGAAGTTTTTACAGGTAGAAATCAGACTTGTGTGATCCCATATTTATACTAAGGTTGCCTGACAAGGCTTTGGAAACAGTAAACTTGTTATCTAAACTTGTTAGCTAAACTTACCAACAGAAAACTGGTACGCCATTGCCGTCAGGGTCACACTATGACTATCCATCCTGTTACCATTTATCTCGAAAACTGTGCAAGTATACTCTCCTTTGTCTGTTGATGTAATTGTCTGGGTACTATCTTCGACCCAATTATTATCTGAGGACGGAAGGTGTCAATAACGACATGATGAAATGAAATTAGAATTATAAAGCAATCTTTTATAATGATCATTTTAATATGTAATGTAAGCTTTATGAATACTAAAAACCCCCAATTATTCGTTAAATTCTGTGAATATAATTTAAGATCTAAGAGATCAGTCTTACCATTCGGACCCTTCCACGCTGTTTTGAATTTAGCCTTGTGGGCTATATCAACTGTACAGGAAATTGATACATCATCCATATCTGCCGTTACGAATACCTTCGTAAAATCAATTTTCGGTTCTGAAAATAAAAATTTTACCATTAAAATAATGTTGGTGGTCCTTTAACAGTTTAACACACCATTGCGATTCATGAAACAAAAACATATGGATAAATAGAAATGTACCGCAAACATCTTTTATATTTAAATTACAAGAAAAACCACGTGTTACAAGAAAGACCACGTGTTACAAGAAAGACCACGTGTTACAAGAAAGACCACGTGTTACAAGAAAGACCACGTGTTACAAGAAAGACCACGTGTTACAAGAAAGACCACGTGTTACAAGAAAGACCACGTGTTACAAGAAAGACCACGTGTTACAAGAAAGACCACGTGTTACAAGAAAGACCACGTGTTACAAGAAAGACCACGTGTTACAAGAAAGACCACGTGTTACAAGAAAGACCACGTGTTACAAGAAAGACCACGTGTTACAAGAAAGACCACGTGTTACAAGAAAGACCACGTGTTACAAGAAAGACCACGTGTTACAAGAAAGACCACGTTTTACAAGAAAGACCACGTGTTACAAGAAAGACTACGTGTTACGAATGTACTTACCAGTCACTTCTACAGTAATTGCAGTCTTAGCTTTAGCCACTAGACATTTGTAGGTTTGTGCGTCAGCGATAGCGACATTTTTTTTCGTAAGGATGCTCATGGATTTACCACCTCCGTTCTTTTTTTCTATATTAAATGAAACTCCATCTTCTAAATCCATGCTATCATCCATCCATTTTATATCGAAAGAATCGGACCCCTCGATAAAACAAGTTAATGGAGAACTCTCTCCCGCATTCAGCAGCCATACGTTATTTCCACTTGATTGCATCTCTGAAATGATAATGTAATGAATTCTAACGTTGATTGGTAAGTTGACAAATTCAAAACCATGGTTACCCAGTAACCATGGTTACCCAGTACCCACGCTGGGTTAAGGTATCCAGCACACATATGAACACATGGGAACAACCGATACATCATTTATTAATTATCAAACTTTACATAATATCTAAAGCAGTTAAAAACAAACATCCTAAAGATCTGATAAGTCTACAACGAAGAAGAAGTATCAACTAAAATATTTGACACCAGACCCTCTTACCAAATATTACAGGTTTTAAAGCATTGGAGGATGTCTTTCCAGCTATGTCACACTTATAACTGTTTTGATCGTCTGTGCCTTTCGTCATATCCGAGATTTCAAATTTGTACTGTAAAGTTACCCCGTCTGTCAATTGCTGGTAACCGCTGGAGAACTTCGATTCGTATCCACCGCCAACAGGATCGGTGCTTTGGAGTACAACATTATCCCTCATAAGACTGATGGAAAATGCGGTAGCTTGTGCTACAATTGTACAGGTTACCGTCATCGTATCACCCGCCACAATGTTAGTTTCCGCAGCTATCTTCAGCTCTGAAAGTAAGGTCTTATTATTATTATAGACCATCTAGCCCGGTGAAGACAGAAAGGCTTATTCCCCAGTTTCTGAAATGTTGAGTGTAACAGAGGTGGCTTGGTTGAGATCATGGGTGTAGACCAGTGTTGAACTCCGGGATCTTAAAAAACACAACATGTACAGAAACCCAAATTTAGTTAAAGTGACTTATTTCATGTTTAAAAAACCCAAACACCTTACCTATGATATTGGCTTCCTTGGACCTCAATGAAAAATCAGGGTAAAATGATAATCCATCTGTGTTCAATGACCCTCGGTATTCGAACTCAAAATAGATTGGAGAATCAGAAGCTGTCGCGCCGGGATAACTGGCTATCTTGCCGGGAATCTGAAATGGCCATAAAATGTTAGAAACCAAGCAACTTTTGTATACATCTGTCACGCAGTGAATATAATATAAACATTAAACATGATATTATATGTTATTATATTATGTTATGAGTTTAGATTGAAATTGGCTAATCTCCTCTGAATTGAATACAAATAACACACGTTATTGCCGACGTTTCGCCCCCATGGCTTCTTCAAGGCGGAACAAAAACTTTGTTACATAGTGACCTGGTAAATATCCAAATTAATACATAAAACTCTGAGAAACATTAAAAATAAATGGGAAGATTCTAAGCGGTAGAAAATTTTAAAGCAAAAGATAGATGTTAGGCCAAAGAATCTAGAACTGTCCAATATTTGAGAGCTAGACCAACGTACACAGAACAGCAACGAAAATAGCTTCCTACTCCCTAACATTTTCGGGGAAACTGAAAGGGTGCCACGTACATATATTTTGATGACATTTACATAATAGCCCATGTGGTCTTTTGCCACGAGTCTGCTTCAGGTGAGAGCTGAGTGTTTATTTTAGGAAGTAACTGCTTGATATACAGTGATTGCCAGATCATTCGGTCTGCATAATCCTTACACATGGGCTATAATCCTTACCACATGGGCTATTATGTAAATGTCATCAAAATATATGTACGTGGCACCCTTTCAGTTTCCCCGAAAATGTTAGGGAGTAGGAAGCTATTTTCGTTGCTGTTCTGTGTACGTTGGTCTAGCTCTCAAATATTGGACAGTTCTAGATTCTTTGGCCTAACATCTATCTTTTGCTTTAAAATTTTCTACCGCTTAGAATCTTCCCATTTATTTTTAATGTTTCTCAGAGTTTTATGTATTAATTTGGATATTTACCAGGTCACTATGTAACAAAGTTTTTGTTCCGCCTTGAAGAAGCCATGGGGGCGAAACGTCGGCAATAACGTGTGTTATTTGTATTCAATTCAGAGGAGATTAGCCAATTTCAATCTAAACTCATAATGATAGACCCTCTGACAAGGGCAAAGCGTCATATATACGCTACAAACTCAATTTATTATATTATGTGTCTAAATATTCACCTGTGATCCCCCGCGACCAGCTGAGTACCATTTTGATTTCGGGTAACCAGCATCAGCCCAATCAAATTCTTCTATCTCGCCTGTTAAATCAACAACTCCGTTCTCGGCAACATAGTACAACTTTTCTAAATCCGTATCTAACGCTGATGGAGATTGTTAAGATTTAAGATAGTGCTGTATAGTGTATAACAGTAGTTTAAGATAATGCTGTATAACAGTATAACAGTGATTTCTCTAACAGAGAGGGCTGTTTGTTGGGTTGTGTATAATTTTAGTGAATACTGTGCTCTGATTGGTTAGTCTTTATCACGCGGTGTGAATACTGTGCTCTGATTGGTTAGTCTTAATCACGCGGTGTGAATACTGTGCTCTGATTGGTTAGTCTTTATCACGCGGTGTGAATACTGTGCTCTGATTGGTTAGTCTTTATCACGCGGTGTGAATACTGTGCTCTGATTGGTTAGTCTTTATCACGCGGTGTGAATACTGTGCTCTGATTGGTTAGTGTTCTGTATTTTTCATCTGGCCGAGAACAGGCAGATGGTGTAATTAAATGGGCGATAACGAAATCTAGGGATTTACGGTGTAATTGATCTACGATTTTGCTATTTATTTAACCCACCATAAAATAAATATTATCTGCTAATCTACTGGTTTTCTTCCGAATAAGTTTAATCCGAATGATCGTGTAACAATTCTCAGAACTTTTATAACGAATTGAATCTACATATACATAGTTACTACTCAGCGCTTACCCATATATTTAACATCCAGTGTCACATCTGGCCCGTCATCATCTCCATTGCCTCCGAAATCGTCCAGTTCGCACCGGTATTTGATATCATCCGCCGAGCCTTTTGTAACCTTGTAGCTGACATATCTGGTACCATCACCCGCATTTACCTCATAGCCGCTTTTTACAATTGTATCTGAAATTATCAGGAGTTTTAAAAAGTATTTTTTAAAAGTACACGCACCTTGTCAACCAAATCACTTTTTGGGAGATTGGAAATCTTCACATGCCCAGCAAGTAGGATGAGTAGGATGAGTAAGATGAGTAAGATGAGTAGAATGAGTAAGATGAGTAGGATTAGTAGGATGAGTAAGATGAGTAAGATGGGTAGGATGAGTAAGATGAGTAGGATGAGTAAGATGAGTAGGATGAGTAGGATTAGGATGAGTAAGATGAGTAAAATGAGTAAGATGAGTAGGATGAGTAAGATGAGAAGAATGAGTAGGATGAGTAAGATGAGTAGGATTAGTAGGATGAGTAAGATGAGTAAGATGGGTAGGATGAGTAAGATGAGTAGGATGAGTAAGATGAGTAGGATGAGTAGGATTGATCCACGATATCACTACAGGCCCCAGTTAGAGTGTGTAAAGAACACCAAAGTAGATCATTATAATGTGTTTTACTGGTTAGGATCAGTTTGGTCCGTTTCATGGCAAAAACATTTATTGATTTTGTATTAACCCTTCGGGGCTTGCGTGACCCTTATCATAGAACTGGTTTTCAGGACTGGCAGTCTGACCTATTGCCTTGCCAGCATAGGTGTACTTATATAGTTTTGCATGGTTCAGTTGCATAGTAGTGTCCGAATTGCACTGATTCTAGCCCGAGTAGTGTTCGAAAGGGCGCCCTGTTTTGACATGCCTCCTGAGCCGGTACTCATTTCCTCTCTGAGCTAGCTAGTGTATATCAGTTTCTTGTTGGTGTTTTGTCTGTGTTTGTTTGTCCGTAGTAGGAATTTACTGTAACTTTGGAGACTGGGCGCAGTAATGTCCCAGAGGGTTTGTAACATCATGGATGCTGACTAAGCTTACCTGATCCTCTCCAACTTGTATTAGTACACTACTTCATTCACACCAGTCATTTCACTACATTAAACTGATTGAGGTTATGCCCTTTGTACATGCTGAAGCGATATGCTATGATGAGTGGAATATGAGTTAGGATCAGTTTGGTCCGTTTCATGGCAAAAACATTTATTGAAGTGTTTTACTGGTACTTACTTCCGGTCAATTCTCTTATAAAAGGGATAACGTCTTCAAACCCCACAAAGTTGTTAAAAGAGTAACCAGACACGACACATTTAATTTCGATCTCTTCGTTCACGGGAGCATAAACCTTTGAAGAATCTCCGAAATCGAATTTCAATTCTGAAAGGAGTAGGTTAATTAATTATTTGATAGATAAATAATTTATCAAATAAATCACATGAAAAATGCAGTCTGGTGGTATATAATCAATACAGCAGGGTCCAAGCATAGCACAGCTAAATATATTGACTTGTGCGAGTCGGAAAATATTCTGAAATAACTTTCCTTAGGGCCTATTATGTTGATTTTGAGAGCTGTAAAAAATTAAAAATGCATTTATAACTATCGAATTGAAATCTTAAAACTATCAAAAGAAAATAATTTACCAATTTTCGCCACTTTAAGATTGTGTTTATGAGTTTGCACAGTTGTTCCGTCAATTACGACATTCAAGATACAATCCAAGTTTTTGCCACCATCCTCAGGTTTAACCAGGTAAGTGCTGGTAAGCGTTTGCGACCCGGAGTTATATGATTGAGGCCCTCCAACCTCAACACCTGGAAACGGTTTTAGTGATTGTTAGCATCATCAAGACAACTCCAGCTTAGATTACCTTATGCTATCAATTTTCCAAACAACTAAGTTTAAGTTCAGAAAATATTTTGCAAGTCATAAAAAAATCTGAAAATAGAGTGTATGTAATTTTTAAAAGAGTATATTTAATTTAAAATAGAGTATATTTAATTTAAGATAGAGTGTATTTAATTCGAAATAGAGTGTATTTAATTTAAAATAGAATGTATGTAATTTTAAATAGAGTGTATTTAATTTTAAATAGAGTGTATTTAATTTTAAATAGAGTGTATTCATACCTTCCAATTTCCAGATCAATTTCCAGTTGGTGTCGTCTGTGATCTCGTACGCTTCACAATCGATCTTTGAATTAACCATCTCAGTGAAGATAAATGCTGTATCAACCGATTCCGAAATCGACCCATATTTCCTATAGAAACTCATCTCTGAAAAAACGGTTTTTATTTATAACAGGCTAGAAAACCGCTGGTTGATATGCAGCTATATATCTAAAATCAGTTAAAAGTCCTAATTTCTCTTCGTCATGCATTTCCGTTCTGTGAAAAGTTTTGCATTTTATTTGACGATGATAACAAAGTTTTAGGTATACTATTCCCTAATCGATACTTTTTACCGGCCTAAATGTAAAAAGCCTACATTTTGTTTTGGTGTGTTAGTCGGGGCCACACAGCTGATAAGAGTACTTTACCTAATAACACCCTAGTAACACCCTAGTAACACCCTAGTAACACCCTGACTACACAGCTGATAACACTATTTTCCCCAGAAATTTACCGCTATAATTTCTGCCTTCTTCTAAAAAATGTCTTCTAGTCACTTTTTGAGATTTAAATGTTTTATCCAACCTTTGTTTTCGTGTCAAGAACAATCCCTGAGAACCATCAGGTACGATCAGAAACAATCGCCGATCGACCCAAAAAAACCCAATTTGAACCAATGAAATGCCGAAATTGGCAATTTTCTGGGAAGATTCCTTAGCGAATTAAGCAAATTTTTCAGAAAGCGGTAGATTTAGTAATAGTATCACTAAGGAAAGGGTCTAGTACTACAAAAGTAATGTTCCTTGTGTTCTGTAGTACGATCGTAAACAGATATTTTGTAAAACGTATGTTAGAGTTAGATGACTCACCTCCAGACCACACTGTCGTCACAAGGCACAAAACAGCGAGCGCCTTCTTTAAAATCATATCTTTTTGAGAGAATAGGTTAGTACTATATGTGTAGTTAAATAATACGGTTAATGGGGGGGGGGGGGGGGGGGTAAAAACATCTCCCCATCAGTATCAACGTTCTACAGTATCACAATAAATGGAACGAATACGACAACATGCAGTGGCGTAACGAAGGGCCCCGCTAACCCCGGGGGGGGGGGGCGCAAAATCGTCGTTTGAATGTGGGACAATTTTGAAAAACTTAACTGAGGTACTAGCAAAACTGCGCGTTTTGATCTAGAAACACACTTTTTTAGAGATTTTACCGGCGTATCCTCTAAAATCACCTAATTTGTTCAATTTTAGGGAGGGGCGCCAAAAGGGGAGGGGGGCAACCGGCAACCCTACGCCACTGACAACATGGTTCGTTTGTGACATCAGCTGAAAAATCAAATGCGAGAACAAAATAAAGAGTAACATATACAATCCACGATCAATACAGACAACAGTAGAAGATGACAGAGAATGAAGAGCGAGCAATGTAATAGTGAGTTGCAGGGGCTATACCGGGCGATATAAATATAAATCACTCAACAACGATAACATTAATGAGACTAGAAATAGAAGAAGCTAATAAAAAGAAACCAGGAGCCGGTGAATGTGAACGGATCCCTTAAGTAAATAACAATTAACGAGTCACAGATCACTAATGATCGTGGTAGTAAGATAAACAGAACACAAGTTATAAGCCCTTCCATTCCTCTCTCTATATCTGTTTATCTAACCTGACCCAATTAGCTGTAACAATCCTAGGAATGTTTACGAATGTGTAGATTGGGTTATCACAATGTTGTAGGCTTATATCGAGTTAAATTCGTTAAATGTGAGAGAGCCGGAAGGGAACGAGACAACAATGAAACCGAATCATGAAACTGAGCTGACTATAACGAGATTATATCAGCACCGCGTTGCGGTCACGTGACCTGCAAATGCTTTGTTGTCCCCCATTGTGTGATGTTGACCTGGAGTGGACGTGTAAAGAGACTGTAGATTTGCTGGAAACTGCTATTGTTTCTAATTGCAGACCCGAGGAGACTTGAGGAATTTAGGGACAGCAATCTTTATACACACATTCTTATCACGCATTGTTTGTGGTGAGGTAGAATGTTACCCACCACAAAAATGTTCACAAGTTGGATAAAACCTTAAAAAATAAAACCTCAACTGACTTCAGAAGAATTTAGATGAAAAAAGCTGACAAAAAGTTTCATGATTTGGTCACACAATCTCAGAACAGGAAAAATTTGGAAATATGGGACCAATTGTGATTTCGAAAATGGAGAACTAGGTGCGGCTGATGAGTGACCAGAGATTTTACAGCTTACTAACTATACTACCACTCAGTATAGTCTAACACACACTAGTTTAGGACCGGTAAATTCAGTTTTTATTTTCAGTATGCTACTGGTCAGTGGTCGGTTAGCTACCCTAGTTACTGGTTACTGGTCGGTTAGTTACCTTAGTTACTGGTTAGTGGTCGGTTAGTTACCTTAGTTACTGGCCGATTAGTTACCCTAGTTACTGGTTAGTGGTCGGTTAGTTACCCTAGTTACTGGTCGGTTAGTTACCTTAGTTACTGGCCGGTTAGTTACCCTAGTTACTGGTTAGTGGTCGGTTAGTTACCCTAGTTACTGGTTAGTGGTCGGTTAGTTACCTTAGTTTCTGGTCGGTTAGTTACCTTAGTTACTAGTCGGTTAGTTTCCATAGTTACTGGTTAGTGGTCGGTTAGTTACCTTAGTTACTGGTCGGTTAGTTACCCTAGTTACTGGTTAGTGGTCAGTTAGTTACCTTAGTTACTAGTCGGTTAGTTACCTAAGTTACTGGCCGATTAGTTACCCTAGTTACTGGTTAGTGGTCGGTTAGTTACCTTAGTTACTGGTCGGTTAGTTACCTTAGTTACTGGTCGGTTAGTTACCATAGTTACTGGTTAGTGGTCGGTTAGTTACCCTAGTTACTGGTCGGTTAGTTACCTTAGTTACTGGTCGGTTAGTTACCTTAGTTACTGGTTAGTTACCTTAGTTACTGGTCGGTTAGTTACCTTAGTTACTGGTTACTAGTCGGTTAGTTACATTAGTTACTAGTCGGTTAGTTACCTTAGTTACTGGTCGGTTAGTTACCTTAGTTACTGTTCGGTTAGTTACCCTAGTTACTGGTTAGTGGTCGGTTAGTTACCCTAGTTACTGGTTACTGGTCGGTTAGTTACCTTAGTTACTAGTCGGTTAGTTACCTAAGTAACTGGCCGATTAGTTACCCTAGTTACTGGTTAGTGGTCGGTTAGTTACCTTAGTTACTGGTCGGTTAGTTACCTTAGTTACTGGTCGGTTAGTTACCATAGTTACTGGTTAGTGGTCGGTTAGTTACCTTAGTTACTGGTCGGTTAGTTACCATAGTTACTGGTTAGTGGTCGGTTAGTTACCTTAGTTACTAGTCGGTTAGTTACCTAAGTTACTGGCCGATTAGTTACCCTAGTTACTGGTTAGTGGTCGGTTAGTTACCTTAGTTACTGGTCGGTTAGTTACCTTAGTTACTGGTCGGTTAGTTACCATAGTTACTGGTTAGTGGTCGGTTAGTTACCTTAGTTACTGGTCGGTTAGTTACCATAGTTACTGGTTAGTGGTCGGTTAGTTACCCTAGTTACTGGTTAGTTACCTTAGTTACTGGTCGGTTAGTTACCCTAGTTACTGGTTAGTGGTCGGTTAGTTACCTTAGTTACTGTTCGGTTAGTTACCATAGTTACTGGTTAGTGGTCGGTTAGTTACCTTAGTTACTGGTCGGTTAGTTACCCTAGTTACTGGTTACCCAGGTTACTGGTCGGTTATTTACCCTAGTTACTGGTTAGTGTCGGTAGGTTTCTTCTAAATTATCGCATAGTTACCGTTCAATGGCTTGTTAATTGGTAATCAGTGATCCTTGTCCAGTAGTAAAAACAGATTTAGTGCAACTAAGATTAGTGAAAAGTCAGCAAAATTTGAGCTAATTATTTACCGTGTTAACACCCTAGTAACACCCTAGTAACACCCTAGTAACACCCTAGTAACACCCTAGTAACACCCTAGTAACACCCTAGTAACACCCTAGTAACACCCTAGTAACACCCTAGTAACACCCTAGTAACACCCTAGTAGCACCCTAGTAACACCCTAGTAACACCCTAGTAACACCCTAGTAACACCCTAGTAACACCCTAGTAACACCCTAGTAACACCCTAGTAACACCTTAGTAGCACCCTAGTAACACCCTAGTAACACCCTAGTAACACCCTATTTACACCCTAGTAACACCCTAGTAACACCCTAGTAACACCGAGTACATGGGGGTTTGACTAGAGTGATACAGTGGGTTGGTGCCAATTGTACAGCATGTGTGATGCAACTAGAGCCCGGGCCCCTACATGATGCCCCCGTGTGCGCCACAAGCCTCATGAGTTCCCTGCCACACTTCAGAGAGCACAATAACCTCTGTGTAAATACCACCAACATTCCGGACACTCACAAGGTGAGGTCACGTGCTACATTTTATTGAAAACACAAACAAGACACACATTAAGAAAACACAGAAGACAAGAGGGCGGTTTAGCGGTTACCTCTTCACTCTAAAATCTTGAAAATGTTAGATAAGCTACTGACTCAGGGGAATAAAACTGGTTCAGTACTGAACTCAGGAGAATGGACAAATGCAACACTGAGAAATTATTGCTGTATTTAATTAATGATTAATACTAATAGTGATGAAATTTGAGCGGTCTTAACTGTGAACGGAAGCCGATGGAAGATTTATCTAAGATCTTTCAGCGAAGTATTTTAATACTTTCAACACTACTATATTATGTGTGTCTGTCTGTCAGTCTGTCTGCGTGTCTGTGTGTCTGTCTGTAATTTCCGTAATTTCTGTAATTTCCGAGCGTCTCAATCAAGAAAACGGTAAGAGTTACGGGACTGGTTTTTTCGGTATATTTTCGACAAAACTCTGACAAAGCCAAACGAATAAAGTTTTTCAAATTGGTCGGTGGTAAGTGGTTTAATTGATGGTTTTGTACCACAAATATGACATAAAATGGCTCTCTTTTTCTCCCTCCTCGCTCTCTCTCCCATTACTGCATATTATGTTGCGTTGGTACATAAATCATAATTAGGTTAGCCACAAGATAATACTATAAGCTTATTAGGGGGGATTGCAGAACTCATTGCGGTCTGTTTGGACTGTAGAGAGAGTTTATACTTTCATACGACAATGTTATGAGTGTTTTCAAGTATAGTAAGCGGGTTTATACTTGGGCATTTCCACTGCAATAAGTCCCGGCCGTAGGCACGGGTTACACTAGTAACAAATAATTTGAGAACATAAGTATGACCTATAAATTTCGATACGTTATTCAGCTATTTGTTTCCATTAGAATCTGTCATCACCATGAGTCTATTCAGAAACAATCAGAAATTGGAATGAAAGAAACATCAAATCATGAGACTCAATAACAATACCAGATTATACCAGATTAAGATCGTTCAGCTAACATCACTGCATAGTGCATACTTCATAGTACGTTCAGCTATTCAGAGGGAAACATTTTTATACCAGATTTATTCATTCAATTATAACTTACTGGCCAGTTGACTGTAATTTACTGGACGGAGGGTGGTTAGTGGTGAGTTACCAGTCAATGGAGGGTAAGTTATGGTCAGTGGTTGTTTGGTAACCGATTTTCTCTTGTTAACTCAAAATTTGCTATTCAGTTACTGGTACGCCGTTTAATGTGTTTATAAGTTAAATCTGCATGGGCTAGTATAATCATTACGAGCTAAAGAGGCTATATTCTACCTGACCAAAGCGCTTTTGGGCCTTTTTGAGATCAATTGATTATGAGCATGGTATTTGTTGTTTTATTTTTCTATTTTTCAACTATGTTTCACAATGTTTCCTGGATATAGATTCCACTTATCTTTACCAAGGCGACCAAGTGATTAGTGTTAAATGTCTG